ACCAGATCGACTGTCATAAAAATTGTAGAAACATGTAAATCCCTTGAACATTTTTTTTTACCCTTTAACTCCCAGAGATGATTGACATGTAACTTATCCATCACATCAAGTAGGTAATGAGAATACTCAAACTTGTCTAGTAGAGGTTGTTCTTTTGATCTAACACCAAATTCTTGTAGCTAAATTAAAAGGAAAAGTGTAGAAGCTAGAGGGAAGAATAAACAATCACATCTTGGGAGTTAAAAGGTTAAAGAAAAGGACAATTTAACCCCCAACCTCAGACGTAAAAGCTGCCAATGGCCTAAGATAAACACTGAAGGTTATAAGAACACATCTGTAAATAGATTCATTTTTAGATACAACCTTCTATGATATATATGCCGATATATTGTATCTAGTTTGATCTTTAATTTTTTTGTAATTTTTGGCTGAACCTTTAATCTTTTTATCCCGTAACATTAGATATGTATTTTTATTTAATGAGCAATAAAGACATCTATTATTATTATTATAATATTTGTTTTGTTAACATTTGTTGTCTGTTACTTTTCATTCTCATTAATTGTTATATTTTAAGAGAATATGCTGCATCTTAACCTATATTTATACACTTCGTTATTTCACTCTAGAGATCTCATTTACAGTTCTTATTACTGTCTGCCATATAATACTTATGATGTTAGTTCAGAGAATTTGGTATTGGATCAACTAACAACCCCTAATTGATATTTTACCTAAATCTCATCACTTATCTGCTTGATAAGGTATTGATACTGTAAGGAGAAAATCTCTCTTCATCACTTATTGGAGTTACTGGGTTTACTTTCCAATCATATACATATGAGAACACCTGAAGGATTAAATTATTCCCCACCCTCCCTCCCTCTGTCCTGAAAGACCCCATCATGAGAAGGTCCATGGTACCTCATGGTGAAGATGCATTGAAAAAAAATTATTGCCAGCAGAAAAATTCCATTTCTACAACTTTTCCTTGGCAGCCTGTATTTTTTTTAATAAAACTTTGCATTCCCTTCTACCTGTTAAATTTTAGAAATTACCATTTAAATCTTGAATGCAATATTTTTTTTTGCATTTACAAGATGGGAAAATCACAAAATTTATGGTGGGTTAATTAAAAAATTTCAGTTCGCTAAATATCTGTTACTCAAAGAAAACGTACATTTGGGTTGAATGAATCATCACCAAATTTCAACATCATCCCTTTGAAAAAAGCCAAGTTACTATAGACTAAACAGATTTTTCCTCCAGACACATCGTACCAAAAATTACATAATAAGGTCAACTGGCTAAAAAA